GAGAAGAGGGCTCCAGGACTAGAAATGGGGAAACTTTATTGTGTTCAACGTTTTGCAAATTATTTGACCTCCTGTAGTTCTGTACAAAGAACTGACTTTGCAAAAGTGTTCAGCATCATTTAAACCCATGGCTTCTTCCCTACCAAGAATAATTTTTTTAAAATTAAGAATAAAATGAGGCCCTACCACAGGCAAATATTCTCTATGTGATACAGCAATCACTTGAACTGCAAAACCTGCCCAAGAGGCGATGTTCTTGGGCAGCTGCTCCAACACTTGGTACTGGCATAGCTAGGCTGCGACTATACTAGAAAATCTTATTTAAAGCTAGGTGAAGAATGACTCGACTACATCAGTGATGACCAAGCAGGGTGTCAGGGCTACAGGGAGATCCTTTGAAGAGAGCCCCAGGGAGTGTGAGGAGATCATAGACTCCCAGAGAAGTGGGGCTGGAAGGGACCTCCAGAGATCACCTAGCCCAACCCCCTGCCTGAGGCAGGATCATCCTGACCCAAACCATCCCATACTCTCCTTAATCTAAACCAGTGGGTCCCAAACTCCGACAGCTTGTGCACCTCCAAGTTAAAACGCTACAACCTTAAGTACCATCAACACATTTTTCAGTTCAACCTTAAGTACCACCAGCAAATCTTTGTCATATAAAGTAATTATAATCAATCTGTTACAGCGTACCGATGACAGGCAGTCTGCGTACCACTGGCGGTACCCATACCACAGGTTGGGAACCGCTGATCTAAACTTTACATCTGGCTACTGTCACTCAGGCCTAACACCTGAACCTGCTACAGGTAAAGCACATAAAGGCAGGCTGAGGTGCAAGGAGATGAGCAGATAACAGCCAGCTTGCGCTCTCCCTCCTCCCCTGCAAGGAGGTAACCCTGCAGTACCCAGATTAGTTTTGGAGGTAGGGTGCCATCAATTCACAACAGCTAGGGTGGGGGCTGGAGTGGGACCAGCGGGGCCTGCAGTCCGAAAAGGCCGGGGACCCCGGTCCGTGCGGTAGGTGTGATCCCAGCCTGGCAGCCACCCCAAAAAGGCGGCACTAGGGGCACAGTCTCCTGAGTTGCTTTTGCAACCTGGTTCCTGCGGCCAGGATCGGCTCCCTGCCCCTGCCCCTGCCCCTGGCTCCCCTCAAGCACAAGCCAAGTGCAAAGCCGCTCCCGGCCGTCCCGCCGGGCCCCTAAACGCAGCGGCGGGCGAGGTGCACGGGAGGGACCAGGGGAAGCAGCGCGCCTCCCCGCCGGGCTCCGTCCCGTCCCGTCCCGTCCCGTCCCGGGACATCGCGGCGCAGGCGGCAGGAGCCCGCGGAGCCCCGCCCCGCCGCGGGGCAGGGCGAGAGCCTTTAATGCCTCTCCCGGCGGCGTCCTCTCTCCTCCCGGCCCCGGCCCCGGCCCCCACTCCGCACCGCGGCCCCGCGCCGCCCCTCGGGCTGGTGGGAGCGAGGGCGGCGCGGAGACGCCCAGCCCCGCTCTCCCCCGCCCAGAGCATCGGCCAGGCCAGGCTCCCGCTGCGCTGCCCGGGTGCGTCTCCGTCTGTCCCGCGCCAGCGGTGAGGACCCTCCGGTAGACAGCTGTGGGTAGACTGGTGCCCTGAACAGAAGCGCACAGCCAAAGAATGATTGTATTTGTATAGGGAGGAAATAACCAGAAACCTGGCTGAAATAATTGTATACTGTTTTCAAAGACAACTAATATTTCCTCCATCTTTTAGGTAACGAGAGACTGATATTGTTTCCAAATCCTGTACTAGCTCCTGCCACTGCCACAAGCAACACAAAGTGCAACACTTCAGATCAGAAGCAGGAAAAATAAAAAATACAAACGGGGCTATTTTTAGGTTATTTTAGATATTCCTGCACGAGACTAAAAGATGAGTTGCCGCTGATGTCAATGAACGCAAGCAGCCTGCTCTGTAGTGTTATACAGCTGTGGCTATTTGGGGTTTATTTCAAGACACAGAGGACCCTGCCTTGACTATTTTGTCAGGGCTGAAATTGTGAAGTGAAATTCTAAGCAAGTGAGCAGTTTAATAGAGAGGACATTTGTCCACTTTTGTCATTTGTAATCAGTCTGCTAGAATTAAGGATCTTTTATTCAGTTGTTTTTGCACAACTCTTTAAAAGTAAATAATAATAGCCACGCAGATATATTGATTTCTTGTATTATTGTATTACTGCTAGGACTTGGAGCTGTGATGCTAGCACTTTACACGTAATCACATTTTGCTTTATTGGGACACAACTGTGCCAGAACAGTTACACAAGAGACACATCCTCACTGCTGTTTGACTTGAACTGACTACCGACCACTGGGTGCATCTACACATGCACTTTACTGCAGTTATCTAATTAGCTCCGTGTCGCTGTCTATAAGTGTACCTGGAATCTGGCCGCCTGGATGTATAAACTGAAAATACCACAGTCATATCTTACTAAAATATATCCTTTTCCCAACACATTCACTTCCTTTGGTACAGAGACAAGCATAGTGTCAATATGATAGGCGTTCTTGCAACTATTTTTCCTCATGAATATAGATGCCCTTGTGGATATTTTTCCTCACAAGTCAGATCACCAAAAATCTAAGATTATGTATAGACAACGAAACAACAACTATTCTCCTGAACCACTCTAGTTCAGGACAGTAAGCACGGTGCACCAAGTGAACTGCTCGTATAACTCCACCTAAGGATGGAGTGTCTGAATCTGTTTTGGAAACATAGCAAAAGCGCAATTCTGACTTGATGCCATATATCAGGAGGTTGTACTGTTCATTTTTAAAAGAAAGTCTCTATTCTTGCTTGTTTGGCAGCATCCACATATCCTTTCTAACAGGAAAACTAAAGTACAATAAAGTATTAAGAATAAACCCTGATCTGAAATATAGCCAGTGTTATTGGGCTTTTGACAGAGCACATGAAGCAGTTTCTCCTAGTAGATAATGGAGCAGCTTGTTTTGACAGGAAACAACAGGAGCTGTGATACAAAACAATGTAAAAACTTCGACAGCTCTGCTGAAGTCTGTCCTCTTTTTACTTTTCTTAATTTTCACTCAATTTTAATCTTATTTGCCTTTTCATCTCCTTGGGTACATATTTTAAATTTTGAAATCTATGTTCCTTATAATTAGGGACCTACTTAAATCACAGTTTTGCAGTTTTCGTGGAAACAACCAAAAATGGCAGTTTCCACAATCACCATGAAAAAATGGCATTTCCTGTGATTTTTTTGCAGAATTGCCTCCCAAAATGTCAAAGTTTACCAGAATGCAAAGGAAACGTGGCAGTCCCAACAGCCATAGAGCGCATGATTTGAGAAAGAACGACTGAGTGGCTGAGCTGGTGACATAGACACAGTGAAGGTGCCAGTCAGGAAAGCAAAAGGGCTTTAGTGCCATCTTTTAAGAAGCCAGATGCAATGCTGCAGCCTGAAGATGATAAATGAAAGGAAATCCAAAAAAGCTAAATACATTTCAGTTCAGGATTGTGTAAGGCAGTTCCCTGGAGGAACCTTGCATGCAGATAATGGTAAACTGTTTTGTTCATCATGCAGTGTGACTCTGGATGTGTGGAGGAAAATCATCATTGATCAGCATTTGGAGCAAAAGGCTGTTGCAGAGGCTGAAGAAGTGCAAGGAACAAGCGACTATGTCTTTGACCTTTAAAAAACCCACTGAAAGCAGCCTGACAAGAAGAGAGGCTACATTTGCATTAGCAGAAGCATTCATGACTGCCAACATTCCTCTGGAGAAAATTGATAACCCTAAATTAAGGGACGACTTGAACAAACATGTGCCAAATTCTGACAGTTTCCCATGTGCAAACAAGCTTCTCCATTGTCTGCCAGGAGTAACTGCTTCACATGTTCAGTCTACAAAATCTGTATCAGCGGAATATGAATCAATCTTGATTGAGGCAGAGGAAGCAACAGATGCCCAAGATCTATGTTCTGCACATTTTAGT